CACTTGTGTATGTATGCACACGAACACAAGCTAAATCGCCAGAAGGTTCTAAGTTCGTGTAGAAGAAGAAGACTGAGAAGGGTATATGACGGCTCAATAAAGGAGCCATATTTATGTTAGATAGATTAGGGTTCCCGTCTTCTATATTAGTTAGGAGAATCGAAAATTTAATGGCATAATCAATGGTTACCAAAATTGATAAGATTTATCAATTTTACCGTAATCACCCATTAGAATTCGGTTTTTCCATTATGTAACCCCCACCTTTCTGTCGTTCCGGCTTATATTTCGATCTTATATATGCATGCACTCCACATTCACCTAACATATAATATAGAGTACAAATAATAATCTCATTAGCTCACATATTAGTTCCAATTACATAAAATGTCTGGTGACACCAAAATCACCAACATCAACTACAATCGGTTTTAAAGAGATTCACGCTTTATATACGGGTTATAAAGATTAGACTTGAAGAAGGTATAAATGTGGCAATATGGTTTATGTTTGAGAGTATGTGTAACACCCGCAAATATGGGCTGGGAAATAAAGTTATTATAAGCCATAATAATGAATTTTAAAGAGGGATTATTTCGGATAAATAATCTTAACCAAATTATAGTATATGTGACGAGGATTTCATACATATCAAGAACACCCAAATCCGACTTCGAGTGAAGAAGTTACGACCTTCCTAAATTTCGTGTTCAAACAGTATGTTGTAAATAGTGAGTTGGAGATAGGTTTCTTATTAGCCTTAGTAATCTAAACAAAAGTTGTAGATATTGTAAAAGTAAATTCATGCATATAGATATCGTCTAAATCTGACTTCGTAAAAGGAAGTTAGGATTTTTAGAAGTTTCAGCGTAGCAGTATATGACTCAGAAACCGAAGTAGAAATCGTTTGATTGTTAGGAAAAGCAATCTAAACGGGGTTGAATATCTCATCCATATGGTTCCGTCGATATAAAGACAATCGAGAAGAGATATCATATGAGGAGGTTATGAATTTTTAACGGACTTTAACAGTCTAAGCCTGTTAAAAAAATAGCTTTAAAAATAAAATCAAAATTAGCCAACAAAGTCTAAACGAAAGTTGTAGATCTCGTTGATAGCTTTCTAGGGATATAAAGAACGTTGAAAATGGAGCTCGTATGAAGAAGATACGATTTTATGAATTTTTCAGAGAAGCGTCACGCGTAGGTGTGTTGCACAGCTCGTACCTTCTAGAAGATGGAGCGTGTACCACCATATTTGCAACACGTGGCAGAAAATGGGAGGAGCGAGTTCTCAGGTGTGCACGGCGCGCACACTAGGCACGGCGTACAGTTGTGCTATAAATAGACTTCGGTTGCTCATTTTATTTCTCACTCCCTATCCTCCTCTCTCTATTTTAGCCCATTTCCCTTAGTTTTAGCCTTCGGATAATCCATGCGATCCCTGAAGAAGTAGTAGCTAGCGATAGAAGCTCTGCCGGTTCAATTTCCTAACTTCTGTCAGGAAGAACCTTTGTAAGTTAAGCTACACTCTAGTCTTTTCTATGTAACTTATATTTATAGTCATAAGTCGTCATTATGAACCTATAAATAAGATTTATCAGTAATTTCATGTTGTTATACCAATTGATCTACTTACGGGAGAGGTGTCTAGAATGGTCATGTTGGCTTAGTTGTTGGATTTCAGAAAAGCTTTTATGCTAAAATGATCCTACCGCCCAACTATCCTACCTGGTTGATCCTTATTTAGACTATCAGTGTTTATTGGAATGATTGATAGGTCTATACTATCTACAGCCACGTAGAACGTTAGACTAAAACTTAGTGATAATGATACTAGGTCACGTCAAAGGAAATGTTGATTTTTAGAAGCGAAGCTCTGCCCAAGTTTCGAGTCATCACTTTAACAAGTGAGTGCATGGTCCCTTTCATCTTACATATAGATATGAAGTATCTAGATAATTACATGCTTATGTGCTTTTTATCTGTGCCGAAGGTGATATGTGTTAGATAAAATAATATCTGATTATATTTAATTCATTTAATTATATAAGTATTTTACACTTATAACATGAATTGGGTAGTGATGGGTAATGAGAAATAGGTGATGTTAGATAGGTGATGTTAGATTGGTGATAAATAGGTGATGATTAACAGACTGATTGATGACAATTCCATAGAACACTGGCAGCGATGGACTTCGTGCCTATAAACATTGACAGCTATGGACTTAGTGCCTATTAGTTAAACATTGGCAGCCATAGACTTAGTGTCTATTAAATAAACACTGGCAGTGAGGAATTTCATGCCCATTTGATATAGGAGATGATAAGTCAATATGATGTAGGTGATGACCCTTAGGATATAACCCTATGGAAGAATAGATAAGAAAATGGGGATGATTAATTGGGTTAATGGTTTGATAATTAAATATATTAACTATATTATTGTGGGTTGAAACCCTATGTACTCACCATGTTTTCCAACCTGACCCACTCAGTTTATTGTATCACAGGAAATTATATATGATGATATGTGTATTTTCTAAGAGATTCAATGAGATGTAGACTATTAGTATAAAGAAATGTGGTAAGTCTTCGTTTATGCTTATGTTTCTTATATTGACGATAACATCCCGAGTTTTATAAATAAAATACATTTCTTAGAAATGTCTTGATGATATTACCATCATGTTTTTGGGACAATTTCCGCAAAGTAAATCTTTTTAAAAGGATACTCTGATTTATTAATCATAAACAAAATCGGTCATTTTTTGTCGTAAAAATGGAGATACCACAGTATGGTCGTGAGTGATGGTTTTTGTAGGTTACAAAGAAGAATATTTATGTAACGGAATCATACTCAAATTATGGGTACATGCAACCTAAAAGTCTATGGCTTTTTCTCAAGCTATAGCAACATACTTATGAAACAAACTTCAAACCTATGTAAATTAAAAATTACAAGTTAAAAGACATACCTTTTTCAAAATATGGAATAATGCAACAACTCTCTTGCAAATCTTTTTGGAAAGCAAGCACCAATAGTGTGGATGTCTCTAATGGTTTATATCGAAAACCCTATAAACTCTAGGATCGAAATATAGGAGAGAGTAGGAAGAGGAAAATTGATTCCTCTATGTAGAGTATGTAGGGATTGGTTTTGGCTAGGGTTATGGACCTTATTTATAGCTTGTGGAAACCTTAATTTGAATAATAAAATAATAGTATTTTAAACCAATTAAAATTAGTTTTCTTATCAACTTCAATAGGCTTCCAGAACCCTTCTGTTTCTTCCTCAAAACCGTCCAAGGCATGGGAGGTTCTAGAATTGTCTCCCTTTCTAAACTATTGAACAACTCCAATTCAATTATTGCACCCTTAATTAATTCTAATTAATCCAAAATTAATTTCTAATTAATTTTGATTAATTCTTAATTAAATATTAATTATTTCTAATTAATATATTAATCATCTAATATATCAAAAAACATTTAATCTCTCTCTTAATATCAATCCTAGCTATTTATCGTTATGAGAGCAACCCAAAAAAGACTTTTTATTCACTAAGATTATATAAATTTAGTTAAGACCTTAGACACCTTAATCCAACAGTGAGTAGGAAGGGAACTCTTCAATCTTTGGATGCTTTATTAACTAACAAGTTCGAGTATATAGACTTGATGAAGGTACAAATGAGGCAATATGATTGAAGGAATTATTAGGTGATATTAGGATTTATAAAGATCAAGCCTTGGTTTACTACTATATCATGAGTGTTATTTGTTTCGCTAAAGGTCAAGCTTTCCATAATCGGACAAAGCACATAGATGTCCGGTATCATTCCAGTTGATGAAAGACATGGTTGAAAGTGAAGAAGATCGAGACATGTGATAACCCAGAGGACATGTTAACAAAATCGGTCTTGGGAAGCAAATTTCGAACTTGCTTAGATTAGCTCAAAATCAATAGTTGGATATATGAAAAGACTTAGTTTTAAGTCAATGTGGAGATTTGTGGTATATGTCACTTTAAACAAAGTTTAGGAGCCTAGTGTGTATAAATGAGACTTTTACCTCGTTAGTTAGAATGTCATTAATCCCTCTTATTCATGTGTACGCCAACCATTTCAAAGCAATTTTATTTAATAGATTCAAGAGTGGTGTTTATTCAATCACTAGGTTATAACCCGTGGAAACCACGGTCCGTATATTTTAAATTTTTATATAGGTAAAAAAATAATAAATGTAAAAAAACCAAGATATTGTCGATTGTAAGTAATTATGAATTAATTTGTTAAGCAAAATAAACATAATAATATTATTAGGCTATGATTTTGTATTTTCAAAATTTGAATTAAATTTGATTTGTTACAAAAAAATAATAATAATAATAATAATAATATAGAAAAATGTCACGTGTCAAAGAGACATTCTAAAAAACTGACACGTGCCATTTTTAAGTTTCATTTATTAGAAGAGGTAGATTTGTGTAATGTAGTCTTCTTTCGTAAAATTGCAAACACATGTATTGCATAGATTGCATGTTGCATGATAGTTATTCTTAATCTAATCCTTTAATTATCTAAATGAGGATAAGTGATAAAAACTAGAATGGATACAGAAGATATAATTGTCAACATTGGTTTCATGTCAATAACATGGGTTATTTTATGTATAGCAAGGACTCTCAAGGGTACTTTCTGCATTTTATATTAACATGGAGGTAGTTAATGTAATTTTCACACTTCCCTTCACGAGTGTTGCAACCTTCACACGAAAATGCAAGGAGAATGTGGCAACATGAGAAAAACCACTTCGAGTTTTAACTTTTCGCCAAAAGAACCTCCCTTAAACACATTTCCCCGATGCACAAAGCATGAAACCCATGAACAGTAAAACTTCTTCAAGAATTTCATACAATCTACTTGATTTCTTCCATGAACCTCAAAGTATCCATACATTCTTCATACATGGTGAGTTCAGAAAAACTCATGTTGAAAATGAACCAGAAACGCCTCCTTTTCACCAAGTTACCTCTAATGGCGTCTGCTATCCTCATGGTCATCTTCATCATCTTCAACCTCTACATAAAAAACCCATTTAAACCTTCATCAAATGTCCAAAACTACCCTTCAACAAAGCAATTCCGCCTCCTAATAGGGATCCTAACTCGAGCAGATAAACATGAACACCGCCATTTCCTTCGCCTCGTCTATGGAATCCAATCCTCTCCCTTAGCTCAAATAGACCTCAAATTTGTATTCTGCAACCTCACAAAACAAGAACAAAGAGTTCTAATATCCCTCGAGATCTTAAAATTCAATGACATTATCATTCTCAACTGTTCAGAAAACATGAACGATGGGAAAACCTACACATACTTCTCTTCACTTCCAAATATTCTATCTCACCCTTATGATTATGTCATGAAAGCAGATGATGATGTCTACTTTCGTCTTTTACCACTTGCATCATCCCTCCAACCACTTCCAAGATCGGATTTGTACTATGGGTTTGTGATTCCATGCCAAAGTATGAATCCGTTTGTGTCCTATATGTCTGGAATGGGGTTTGTTTTATCATGGGATTTGGTGGAATGGATTGCAAATTCGGATATTCCTAGGAATGATACAATTGGCCCAGAGGATAAACTGGTTGGAAAATGGTAAATCTTGGGAAAAAAGAAAGAAATAGGGTTTCTAATAAGCCTGCTATGTATGATTATCCTGTCATGAATGGAAGGTGTTCACATGAGCTTATTCCTGAAACAATAACCGTTCATAAGCTCAAACGATGGGATCAATGGCTTCATGTGATTCGGTATTTTAATGTTACTAAAGATCTTAATACATCGAAGCTTTACAATGGTTTCAACTTTGACTCGGTTTTCAATTTAAAGATGTAAAATTTGTTCCTTTTTTTATGTTTAAATACTTAAATGTTATTGATCGTGTTTTTACCTCATTACGTTTGTCTCATTTTTACTTGTTGTTTTATTGCATGTATCTACTTTTTTTGACTATTTATATCTACCCCATTATCTAATTTTTCTTTTTTCCTTCTGATCTGTTGTTGATTGTATGAGATAATTCAGATTCAATCAAGGTTCCCGATGTAATTTCTACATAAAAACACAATGTAGACAAAGAATGTGAATTCTTTATTATCTTTCTTCTTCATACATGTTAGCTCTCGCTCTTTACAATAATTCATGGGTATTTTATTGGAATCTTGTTTTCTTTCAATTATATTTTCTTGGAAGAACAGGAAGTTATGAAGTCATATGATCTTGAAGTTACATCAAACCTTTTATGCTCCAAACAGCCTGAAATATATCAAGAAACTAATTAACACCTTAATTTTTGTCGTCCAAAAACAGGACTTAATAATTAATAAACTCGGTCTTTTTCTTACCTTTGAAGAGTGGATTGCGAACGTCTGCTAGACAAAATAAATAAATAAATTAATTAATTATTAGTCTGAAAACCAAATTTTATAAATTATAATTAAAAATGTATATATTTAGATGACATGCCTCGTAGTTGGCGTTGTTGTAAGCTTTCCTTTTGGCACTGGTGCAGATTGAACCTCATCAGTAGCAATAGGCACAGTCCTAACCTGTGACATTAATTCGAATATTAATATTAAATATTTAAAAAATAATAAATAAAAAGCCATCAATTATAGGCAAATATATATCTACCAAATTCTTGTAATGCAGATTGTAAAATAATTCAATGTATCTCTGTTTCGCTTCTTTCTGTTCCTTATTTATCCGCTTCCAGAATTCATAAATGTTCCCCATATTCAACACTTTATTCGCATAAATCTTCCACGTGTAGCTGAAAAATCACAAAAAAAATAATAATAATAATAATTAATACGAAATGACCATTTTACCCTTAACCGGTTAAAGAAACACTATTACCATTCATATATACGTTGCAAACCACCATCAGAAATTCTACTCCAATATCCATCATCCTCTTTACACTTCTGAAAAAAATCAGCAATCTTGTTGCTGGATTCATCGCCATTATTCGGATCAATTTGAAATCCAGAAACCCCATCAACAATAATCTCAGCGGGCCCACCTTGATTAGTTGCAAAAGTAGGCAACCCACAATTCATAGCCTCAATAACTGTTAATCCAAAAGCTTCATATAAAGCGGGTTGAACAAACGCGCCTTTTGAGTCAGCAATAAACCTGTACAATTCACTGTTTCTGTTTCGATCCGTTTGTGCAGCTATCCATCTTATTTGACCTTTTAATTCGTATTTTTCGATTAATAAATGCATGTTTTTAATTTCTGCCATTTCTTCTCTATCTTTTGACTTTGAAGGGTTAAAAAAACCGGCTACAATTACGAGGTTGACCAGGGATCTGAGTCGCTTGTTTTGTCCGAACCACTCAGTGAGTCCGGTTATGTTTTTCACTGTGTCGAGTCTTGCCATTGAGAAGATGATTGGTTTAGTTTTGTCTTCTAAGTATCCGCTGTTTAATTGATTGATTAAATTAAATTAAATGCATATAATATAAAGTTTGAATAAAATATTGGATTAAATTATATTTTTCGTCGGTGGGTATATAATAATTGGTTTTACTCAGGGACCAAATATGTAATTTACTCACAAAAATTATTATGAGTGATTTACGTTTTTGGCCCCTGGGTATAGCTGAGGTTTTTGAATTTTTTTTTGTGACTATTTTTAGGACCAAAATTGGAAAATTCAAGTATTCTCGAAAAATAGTCATTTTACTTGGAAGATGGTCAAATAAAAGACCAAAACTGTAAAAGAAATATTTTTAGGGACTAAAACTGAAAACTTCGGGTATACTAAGGGACCAAATATGTAATTTACACTATTCTTTTGTCTTTAACTTACATGTGTTCGTCGTTTTCAACTTTACTAAACAGTAGTTCTTCAATGGCGGGTTGAAAAGAAGTGAATCGTTTTTGTGTTTCGGTGTAAGGGAAATAGACAGTTTGATCAGCTCCTGGAGATGCGATGTTGAATTTAGGATCGAAGACATTGATGCCTGAAACAACTCTGTATAATCCTGGAAGTGTAAACGCCTCATGGCTTTCATATTGACCAGGCCTATCTTTACTGCAATTTGAATCAAAAAGGTCAAAATCATTATTTTATTGATAAGATTTAAGTAATTTGGTTGTGTTTTGGTATGAAATCGATTCGAACCTTCCGGCTATTTCTTGAAAAGTACTGGTGATGATGAAATCGGCTGAATTCATTGCAATCATGTCAGCTGTGAATTGGCAGGAAAAGTGATATTTTGGGTCCAATTGCTTCCATTTCATGTCAGAATCTTCGTATTTTGTCTTCTCTAAAGCATGTGCGATTGTTCCCTATAAAAATTCGTTTAAAGTTATGCTCAATTTGATCATCTATGGATAGAAATTTTCTAGGGGTTATGAATGTAGACATACCAATGTCGTCCCGAGTTTATTGGCCATGAGAGATGCAACAAGGTTTCCATCGGTGTAATTTCCAATTATAAGATCTGGTTTTCCTTCCATCATTTCAAGAACTTTCGCACTTGCATCCTGTTGATTTTAATTCGAATGATTAATCAAACATCGCACAAACTAAACACTAATTAACCAAAAAGAAGCATACCTGAGTGAACTTCTCAAGGTACGGATAAATATCAAATCGAGACACCCATTTACGAAGAATACCCTTTTCAGTCCTAAATGGAACCCTAACGATATGCGAATGCTTCGTTTTCATAACTGGTTCCAGCACCTGATTACATTTCGTCCCCTTCGCATCAGGAAGAAGACGAGCCACCTAAATTGGACCAACATTCAACGAAATTCTCAGAATTATGAACATCGATCGAATACGTTTTGATTCTAAAAACAAAAAACGAAAGAGTATTATGCTTACCACGATAATCTGAGGCTTGAAACTGAGTCCTTGTTGCTTAATCCTGAGGAGTAATTCTTCTTCTAAAGCAACAACTTGATCAAGAACATAAACTACTTGACCTCCGGTATCAGGTAAGCCGAGAACGTTAGATTGACCAAAATAGCCATGGATTGAGAATAACACGACATTGAAGATGCTTGGAACTCTGCTAAAAAATTTCTCGAGGTTTACGGGATCGGGGGCTTGAAAAACCTCCAGTAGAAACCCGATTGTTTCCCTCACTCTTTCTGCATTATCTCCCCCATCCCTTCTCAAAACCCCATTGTTTAAACCTGTACACATTCTAATTTTTTATACAACTAACTAATTTACTGAAAATTACAGGTTCAGTCCAATTTGGGATTTGTTAGTAGTTTTGGTCCACATGAATTCATTTCTTTGGGTTTAGCCCCATCATAATTCATAAGTGACTATTTTATATTTTTTTCTTTTTATTATTTTGTCTTGACAAAATATATCAAAGCCAAACTTATAGAAAAAAACCTTACAATTTGGTTTTTAGTTTTCTAAAAAAATCATTTTTTTATTTAATTTGGTTTTTTATGTTTTACATATAAGTTTTATTGGATTAATATTTTACAAGTAAAAATAGTTAACATGTATTATATTCCAACATAAATTAAAGGCATGTGTTTATGTTTAAAATACAGAAAAACACAATAAAACCATATTCACCTTTACATTTTGTGAGACTAAAATCATAATAAAATAAACCACGAAGACCAAATTTGTAATTTTCACTTCAAAATAGGGACCATTTTTGTAATTTACTTTAAAACTTTAAAAAGAAAGTTTACCTAAGCTCAAAGCTTTGATATGGCGTATCATTAGGCAAAGAAGAAAGGGCAGCATGAGCTACAATTAGAGCTGCTTGAAGCTTTGAAACTGTATTCAGTGTTTCATTCACCATAAGATTCTGCACATTTGATTTAAAAATTGTTAATTACAACACTAATTAGAAAAAAAAAATATATGTTTTTTTTTATATTCATACTTCTCCTTGATGATCCAGCGATACTAAGTAATCAACGAGCAGCTGTTGGCTTCCAGATTGAGCATAAAGCTTCGAAGTAATAAACTTTGATGCGAAATTAACTCCATGTCCAATTGAAGAAGATAAGCTCATTGTAGGCGATTTGAAATCCATTGATCCAAAATCAAGCTCCAATGCGTTTTCGTCATTAGCCCTAAAAATTTGAACTTTATTAGCCTTTTTTTTCATTGTTAATCCCTAATTTTAAAATATTGCATACCAAGTTTCATCAACGATTGATTCCTTGAACTTCAAATAATCAGTGGCAGTGATCCCTTCGACTGATAGATCGTTGGAATTGACTTTAACAAACTCCCAGAATCCAGGATTTGGGCGTATAGCGAAGGCGATATAAGGTGGAACAATGGCAGCTTCCTGTAAGATTTAAAAATTAAATCTTAATTTCTGCTTGAACAACTTATAGAAAAACCATTCTATTTTGTTATATTTTGATGTTTATTCATTTAAATATATTTTTTTTTCTCAAATCAAACCATAAGAATTTCAGATATTTCTTTAACCATTATTACATTATTTAGCTAGTCATAATGCTTAGTTTTGAAAAATTAGTAATGTTTAGTTTAGAAAAATATTGATGGTTAAACCGCAAAACTACATGTAATATAATATTTTTTATTTATTTACTTTTTTATTTTAAAAAAATATATGTAAAAATTAATATAAACCTGGGTAGTGCACAAAATGTAGCCAAGTAAGCCTTCCAAGACTTGAGCCTTTTCATCTTTGTCCTCAATGACACTCTCCATTTCTTGCATCAAATGGTGGAGTTTCATCATTCTCTTACCTTTTTCTAAGTATTTTAGAAAGCATTTCTTCATGTGATACCGGCTTTGTCTCAAGGCTTCTGGCATGGTATCGACTATTGATTCTGATCTTTTCATAATTGAACTTGAAGAAGCCATTGATGAGTTTTTGATATGTTAAAGAGTGTGACAAATAACACAAGGAAAGTCTTGGTGTTATTGAATTGTGAAGAGAGTTTGTAGAATTTATAGGAAGATTTTAGGAGATTACTTTGCTTATGGTGTTGTCAACCCTTTGGAAATGTTGGGAATGGATGGTATCTAGAAATGTGTAAGGAGAGTCAAATAAAATGTGAGGCAGATTGTGAAAAGAAAAGAATTTTTGGATTAGGGGAGAAGTTTGATTCTTAGTTTCGTGGCGAGGACATAACTCCTTTTATTGAATCTTGCTTTCTTATTTTATTTAATTTTGAGTAAATTACAAGTTAGGTCCCTGTATTTTATCAGAAATCTCAAGTTCAGTCCTAAATTCATACAAAATGACTTCAAATTTTGGATTGAACTTGCAATTTTTCGTAAAACATATCCGCAATTAACTGCGAACTTAAAGACAACATCGGAACAATTTCAAGATTTGTACTGAAGTTAAAATAGGGACCAATTTTGTAAATTACTCTTCGGTTCTAATACCAAATACGTAAAATCTGGTATCTTTATTAATGATGTCCTAAATTAGGAGATGAATTTTTGTTAAGAGTAAATTACACCACTGGTCCCTATGGTTTTGGGTAATTTGTACGTTTGGTCCTTAACTTTTTTTTTTAAATCGGGCCATCCCTATAGTTTGATTTTGTTTCGCGTTTAGTTCCTTCTAGACCTGAAATGACTATATTGTCCTTGTTTATTTTTTAATTTAATTGTTTCTTATTTTTAATTTGTTTATTGTTTATAATTAAAAAAAAAAAAAAAAAAAAAAACAAATGGCCCACCCGTTTTCCTGCGCCTTTCCAATCATGATAACTCATATACCATATATCTCTTTCATCAAGAACTAACTAAGAACCCTAACGACCATCTCCCCTGTACTCGTCGATTCTTTGAGCCCCAATGAAAAGCTCTCTCTCCTCCTTCCATTCTTGAACCCAGCAATATTGCCACCACCATGATTTTCGTCGGATTGTTGTCGAAGTCCCAATTCTTGAGCTCATGAATGTTGTCGTCGGTTTAACACACATCATCGTTGTCGCCGCCGTAGGACCCACCATCGTTGTCGTCGCCCTAGTTGTAGAACCCACCAGATTGAACCTACCATCTTCGTCGGGGTTGTAGACGTTGTGGTTGCTGCCAATAAAAAGTCGCGAGAAACCATCCAACATCTTACACCGTCAACATCACACTCATTGCTTCTAATTGTTTTTGGCTTTGATTCTTGATCGATTTGGTTCCCAAGCCAATTACAAGATCCATTTGGTTCTCGGGTCAATTTAAGGATGGAACTAGCCTTATTTCTTCCAAGTAGGTGGTAGCCTTAAGCAATTGCCATTTTTAAGTTTATTGAAGCTGATGTTGTTCTGGAATTTGCAATTGGGCGATCGATGTGTATATGGATGTTATGAAGTGCTTTTGTACAATGGATTTCACAATTTTGAGTTTTTTGTTTGTCAAATATTTTGTAAATTCAGATTCATTGTTCTGTGACTGAACTAGTCGTCTTTGATGAATCTACCACGACGAACGGGTGTTTAGGGGCATACAGAAATGCGAAGATGTAGCCGGAGTATCGGTTCTTTAATTACAGAATGGTGGAGATGTAGCTGGAGGGTTGAAGTTGAACATTTGGGTTTTTCCGGCAAAGAAGGTGGCGGCCTTGCTAGATGGAGAAGACGATGGTGGTGGTTGAGGTGATGAATTGGGATTGGGTGGGTGGGCCCATTATTGTAATATATATACATAAATTAATAAATCAAAAAGAAATTATAAATAATGATATTTAAAATTAAATAATCAGAAAAGAAATAGGTAAAGGCAATATAGTCATTTCAGGTCCGGAAGGGACTAAGAGCGAAACAAAATCAAACTATAGGGATGGTCCTAGTTAAAAAAAATTAAGGACCAAACGTACAAATTACCTCAAACCACAGGGACCATTCGTGTAATTTACTCTTTTTGTTATTTATAGTTTTATTTTCAATTTTTAGTAAAACATTTCAAAATCAAGAGCTCCCATAAAAAATAAAAAATAAATGAATAAATAACTTTTTTAAACTATGAAGATTATTACGTAATAATATTATATTTCTCATATAAACATGTATACACTTGTGCTTACTCTCGCTCAATAGGGAATGGACCTTTACAAATCTTTGATTGTAGTTTCAGATCTTTTAGAAAATATTGATGTATTAATATATTTTTTTAAATGACCCTTAAATATCACACAATTTAAGTCATTTTGTAGAGTTGTTGTTAGTCACTAGTCCCTCGTCTCCTTTTTATACATGAAGGATTGAAGTCTCTCTACTGAACCATAACCAGGATTGTCCAAGAAATTACGTGACCGAACTTATAAACGGACTTCTGTAACAGGCTTTTTAACTGGCTTTGAAGAAAAAATATATATAACCCTTTTAATTAGTTTACTTGTCAACGATTCATTTGACCAATCGTACACTATCGAAGCCATGGTCAAAGTAATGTGGTAGCACGAAAAAATCCATGTAATATACAATAAATCGCCGGCCGGAGAAGGGACGTCGGACGCCGGTCGTTGGTGGCATAATGAAGCAGCAACAACAGCAGGCAACGTGCAACACAAGGGAAGAGCCTAAAACAGCAGCGATCAATTTCTGATTTGTTTATCATTCTCGTTTTTTTCTTTTTAACAAATTGGGTTTAAGAATTGGGATATTAATTTTTGGCTTAAACACTTTGGGCTACTTTAAAACAAGTTTGGTATTAAATTTGAACTTTAAACACTTTCAATTTATAAATTAAGGGTAGCCCATATTTTTTCGAGGTATCACCACAAAGCAAATAAAACTTCTAAAAAATTTATAATTCTAGACAGAATTTGATGGGCATCAAGGACTGCTCCGTACACCTTAGTAGATCCGCCTACGATAGTAGGTAGGATTGCACAAAATCCTTAGGTGTTGTTTGGTTCGCAGAATGTTGCTGAAGGAATTTGAATTGGAATTGGAAAAGGAATCTGTTAGGAATTTGAATCCAATTCCATATGCTGTTTGGTTGGCAGGAAATGGAATTGGAATTAATTCCAGATTCTGTTTGGTTCGCAGGAAATGGAATTGGAATTCATGTAAAATGACAGAATTACCCTTTTTCCTGTTTTGCTTAATTTTACCTTGTTTTCTAACTTTATGTAAAGATACATTATGATAATTATGAAAACAATAAAATTTATGCGGTGGTGGCAGTGCTGGTGGGGGCAGAAGCGGTGGTAGTGGTGGTAGCAGCGACGATGGTAACGAAAGCGATGGTAGTGGTGGTGGCGTCGGAGGCAGTGGCGGTGGGTGGCGGCGGCGGTGATGGTGGTGGTGGTGATGGCGACGGTGGTGGTGGGTGGTGGTCGGTGGTGGTGGTGGTGGTCGTGGCGGCGGTGGTGGCGGTCAGTGTTTGTGGTGGTGGTGTGTTTCCTAATAAGTACAAGGGTATTTTTGTAAGATGTCACTTTCCTTGATGAGAATGAATGTTTTCCATCCAACTTTGGAAGGAATTCACTTTCCTCCATATGGTGGAAAGTTTATTTCATTTAGGAATCATTTTCCCTCCTCTAAATCCAACCAAACGCATGAATTCGAGGGAATTGGAATCATTTTCCCTCGAATTCCATTCATTTCCTGTCAACCAAACGCACCCTAAGATTGTACATAGGGTCATTAATTGGATTATTAATACTATTTAGAATATTAAAAATTTACATAAATCATCAATAAAATAAAAGTAAATTACATGAATGGTCTATGCGTGGTTTGGTGTAATTTGCGCATTTAGTCTTTAAGTCTTTTTTTTTTTAATTCGGATATAATACATTTTGTTGCATATTTTGTCTCTACCAAACGTTTAATAATAATAATAATAATAATAATAATAATAATAACTATTTTACTCTTAATAATTTTCTTTTAATTTTCTATTTTTTGTTTCTTATTTTTAAGTTAAAAAATAAAAAGTAAAAAAGTAAACAGCAACCACACCAACCTCTTTCCTTTTACCTTCCCATTTTAGTTTTGATGTGTCTCGGTTTCTTCCTAAATGAGATTATCAATGCTACACTACCACGCCGGAATAAACAAATATTAACCACGAAAATTATTTAAAGGAAATTACCAAGGTAATATAGTCTTTTTATATCAACCAACGACCAGACGCGCAATAAAAACTTACAATAGAACCTTTCGAGTTAAAAATAAAAGTTAGATACTAACCGTACAAATTATATCAAACCATAGGGATCATTCGTGTAATTTACTCATAAAATAATATTCCGATATTATCCTTTTTATTGAGATTTTATTCTATCTAAGTAAACATTCTAAAATGATTTACATCTTATGAAAAACAAACAAGATATAACTAATATTTAGGTTTTCTCTTTTTCATTGAAGCTCTTTTTTATTTTAATGCAACATTTCAATTAATTTTAATTTATAATGGAAAATTATACTAATACATTTATGCTACATTTATACCGATGTATCATTTCTCATGTTAGTAGAGTTGTAAATGAATCAAACGTCCAACAAATCGTTCTTTGTGAAGTTCGTTTATTTAATAAATGAATGAATATGAATATACAAAACTGCACAAAATGGTCCCTGTGGTTAACTGAAATTGTCACTTTGGTCCAAAAAGATTTGGACTAGCACCAGAGGTCCAAACTTTTCATTTTGTTGCCAGTTTGGTCCATTTTGCTTTAAACTTTTTTATAATGACAATTTTGCCCTTACTTTTTTTCTTTTTCAGTTTTCTTTATTAATTTTTATAACTTTTGATTAAATTAAATAAAGAACAAAATAGAAAACCAATTAACCTCTCTCTCTCTCTCTCTCTCTCTCTCTCTCTCTCTATATATATATATATATATATATATATATATATATATAAACTAGGGCTCACTTCCTTCTTCATCCAATAAACACCACAACGCTCTCTGTACTCCTGTAATGTCCATGTGTTCTTCGTCTTCTGTTCAG